TTTCTTAAAAATAAATAATATTATTTTATAAGTATAAGTAATTTTTTATTTTTATTTTTATTTACAATAATTATTATATTTTTTTTCATACACAATTTTTTACTTACACTTTTTTTCTTCTTTTTTTTATCAGAATTTATCTTTTCTTCTTCCACCTCTCCATTTTTCCATTTAAATTTTTTTTTATCACATATTTATTTTATCCTCTCAAATTTTTATATTTCAATGGTTTCATCTCACAGAATAACATAAAAAATTATAATTATTTTTTCTAATTTTTTTTAGTTTTTTTGTTCACATAAGAAAAAAAAGTTAAAAAAAAAATTCTTGAACTAAAGAAACAATAAACAATTTTATTAATTTACTTATTTTTATAAAAAAATTAATATTTATAGTATAATATAAAAATATGAAATATTGATATAGTTTTTTTATTTGTTATAAATTAATTAGTTAATTAGTTATTTAAATGCTTTATGATGTTTTATTTTTATGTTAAAATATGAAAAAAAAAGAGTTTTAAAGATGTATAAAAAAATTATAAACTATTTTTTTAGAGAAAAAAAGAATAAATGATAAAAAAAATGAACCGTACATTAAATATGTTGATAAATATTTTATATAATATATTTACTTTTGTATAATAATTAATTTTTATATATTAATTCTAGATTAACTCATTGAGCTCTTCAAAATTAGGTAAGAAGGTTCTTTAACTCTAATGGACAGATTTACTTTTGTCATTTGAATAAAGAGAAACAAAATACGTTTTATTTTTTAAAATCTCATTTAATTGATTGAATAGATAAAAAGAAATGATTTTAAAGAACAAAATATTCTATTCTCCTTTTTTTCTAAAATTGAAATGTTTTTATTCACTCATTTGCCTTCTCCTTCTGGTTCAGTCTATCAAGACAAAGAAAATATTTTTTATGAACTAAAAATGCAACACCTTTGAATCTTAAAAGACTCATATTTTGTTTAGAGTAAAAACCATCATAATCTATCTGTATTGGAAATATGGCTAGTTCTCCCGTTTGCAACAGCTCACTCATTGCCTCACACTAGGACAATGTTGGCCGTCCTGAGTTTGTGAGTTACGAGAAGAACCACCTTTTTTGAAGGCCATGCTCACATGCAACATTCCAAATCACTTGATACCTCCTATGCCTACACAAATCATCACTGGTTTGCGCTCTGGCTGGAAACATCGAGAAGAATCTTAGTATTCTCAGGAGAATATCAATAATAGATACCCTTGTTATTGTCTGCACTGCAACTAGGACTTGTTCAGGTCCTTAACCTTAACAGTTTCCTAGTTTCATCCATTGGAGAAATCTGTGCATGGTTTCAGCTAGCACTCTAACCTCGTAAAATCCTCACTTTCCAATCTCAATAAGCTTCTCATCTATACCTCCACTCTCATACACCTTCATTAATGAGTATTTCATTTATTATCAATGTGGTTCTTCTGCTTGCAATTATATTGCTGTTGCTGCTTTACTACAACACATCCTCAAAGCTGAATAAAATAGTGAAGGGGCAGATTCCCAGAGTCATAGAAAAAGAGAATGACGTGGAGATTAGTGTTGACAAGAAGATAGAGATAGCAGAGGGGACAGTGATTATGACAGTGGAAGAGAGAAAGGAACTGATATTCTTTAACGATAAGCCAAAATTTCAAATGGCTGAACTTCTTAGAGCTTCTGCTGAGCCACTGGGTCATGGGATCTTGGGAAATAGTTATAAGGCTATGCTGAATAGTGGAACTACCATTGTTGTAAAAAGGTTAAGGGACTTGAAGCCATTCACCAAGGAGGAATTTGAGAAGATATTAAATGTGATTGCTGATATGAAACACCCCAATTTGTTGCCCTTGCTTGCTTACTACCATTCCAGAGACGAGAAGCTCATGCTTTACACATACGCAGAGAATGGAAATCTTTTCTCCCGACTTCATGGTAATTTACATCAACTTAATTGCTCCATTTTTTTAGTTTGCTATTGTGTCTAGTGATATTTAATTAAAAATATCCCAAAACATAAACTTAATAGAAATAATCAAAGATTATTAACAAATTAAAGAGCAAAGGTCAAGGTAAGGTAAGGATCTGAAAATTGACTGATGAGAGCACAATGTTTTCTAACTTTCCTAACTCATCCCCGTTTGGTTAAAATAGAAATAATCACCGTCAAGGTTTCATCTTAAACCTTATTGACATATTTTTTATGGCTTTAGAGCTGGAAATTATGTCGTTCAGTTCGAATTTTAGTAACAAACTGAGTTTTTGTCACACAAAACTTCATAATATTGAGGTGGCAACAAAGCTATACATGCATCTTTATACATCTTGTGCCCTCAAAACCTGACATTTCAGATGGTAGAGGTGGAAACCGAGCTCCATTCAGTTGGAACTCAAGATTGTCAGTCGCAAGAGAAGTGGCTCGAGCATTGGTGTACCTGCACCTCAACCACAAGTTGCACAACATTGTCCCACACGGCAACTTGCGGTCTTCAAACGTACTATTCGATGAAGACGATGCGGTCCTTGTTTCTGACTTCGGTCTTGCCTCCATGATAGCGCAACCAATTGCAGCTCAGCACATGGTTGTTTACAAATCACCTGAATATGGATATGCAAGAAAGGTGACAATGCAATCCGATGTGTGGAGCTATGGTTCCCTTTTGATAGAGCTTCTAACTGGCAAAGTATCTATTAACTCAGCTCCACCAGGAACCAATGGGGTGGACCTATGCAGTTGGGTTCACAGAGCTGTGAGGGAAGAATGGACTGCTGAGATCTTTGACAAAGAAATCTCCGGACAAAAGAGTGCACTTCCTGGGATGCTAAGGTTGTTGCAGATTGCAATGCGTTGCATTGAGAGGTTCCCTGAGAAGCGTCCTGAGATGCGAGAGGTGACGAGAGAAGTGGAGAAAATACAAGCCCACTTGATCTCTGAAGATGATGATGATCTGTCTGGGGATAGGTCTCTAACTGATGATTCCCTTTCAACTAGTACATCTGTGATTGGAGATGAAAGATAGATTATGAGAGCTTGGAAATCTCATCTAGAACACATTTGATTTTTCCTCTTGTTTTGACATGAAGGTAGTGCATTGATCCAATAATAAGTTACTCATTATTGTGCATGTTTGTGTCCCTCTCAATAAACTGTTAAATCCACTTTTATCTATGCAATTTACTAGAGAAGAAATTGCATTTATTTGGTCTAATTAACCTCCTGTATTTGCGTCTTCTCTTTCTTTTGTGCTTTATCACATGGGAAAAGGTGGGTTTATAAAAATTATGGTTTTTATTACTTAATAGAATCGTATAATCTTTGATCCATGTTAAAGGAATTTTGATCATGCTACTATTGAAATGAGTTATTGCAAACATATTTCTGCTAGAGCCGATTAATGGAAACAGAGGGAAAATGTCTGTTTTCTCATTTCCAGGCTCTAAAAACGCTGTTTTCTCACCTGAGACGTGCCAACGTCGAAATAAAAAAACACTTTTTTTTTGGTCGTGAAAAGCAAATACACATTGATTCCCATCGTTTCTCCTCTTGTGTGTGAAGACAAAGTTCCTGCAAATAGCAGAGTGCACGTGTTTATAAGGAACTAATTCCCCAGCTAACAAGCCGCAACCAAAGTATAAAATAGTATTTATCGTGACCTAAAACGAAAATATAGAGAAATCCTTCATCCTATCGTGAGAGAAAATACAAATGGATTGTTAATAATTCCGAAAGGATTGGAACTGGAAGAATCATATGCCAGTTCGCATGAACATGTAACTAAATAGAACTAGGCAATCGAGCATGAAGCAAGTTATCAACCAACTTTCAAGTGAAAAAAATCAAATCTTTCAAAAAAAAATGTTTCAAAATATGTATTTTTAATATTTCTTAATATTAATCAGAAAACTAAAAAGTATTTATAACATATTAAAAACAATACTTATATAATAATATATTTATAATATAGTAAGGATTTCAAATTCATGGCTAAATATTAAAATAAAATAACCTCAACTAAACCAATTTGAAATACAATTGGTTTGGGTATGTCAAATTCCCAAGGAGCACCCAATTACATCGCAACTTTGAAGGGTGGGAGATAGATTTTAAAAGTTGTTATAAGGAGGTTCAGTAATTGGTAATAACCGAGAAGCAAAGAATTAACAGCATATCGAATAATAAAAAATAAAAATAAAAACTGAAAATTACCCCCTGGTTAATTTTCCACATGATTAAAGAAACGCACAAGAACCTTGAATAAGTAAACCTTATAAAAAAAAAATATAGTATTCAAGGTCTTCGCGTCCACCTCTCAGACACATAATCTTATCATTAACACTCGAAAAAGGTTAGTGAAATTATTAATTCCAAAAAAGAAATGGTACAATCAAATGGCGCTAGTTTCAGATTAATTTGATGAGTGAATGGGCTGAGCGTGGTAATTGTGACATTTCGGGTGAAAATAGTTGCGAGCGTGGCACTACTATGAAACATCCTATATGCTACCTTATGACGATTGGCACAAATTTACATCAGTATTGTGGCATTCGATGCAAAAATGAAATTACAAATTAAAAAGGGATCCGAGTAAGCCCGAAATAATTATATATCATCATATAAGACGATGATTGGAAAAGTAAAATTGTACAACGAAATGCGCCAACGCTGGTTTCACTTTCATTAGGCGCTGTTAACCCCTTGAAAATTGCTTTCCATTCCGGTTGAAGAATCTTCCTGACAGACCTGTTTCTCAGTCTTTACTGGTGGATTGATCCCTGATCCATGATGTATCTGTCCATTAAACTAGAAAATGAGGATTTGACCCAGGTGTAGCTTTCTACCAAAATGTCAAAAATTCATGAAAGCATACCGTGGCACTGGATTTGAAAGGTAAAGTTTCGTTAGGAAGCAACATTGACGGATCTGAGGGCCTGTGAAACAGTAAGTGTGCTACAGACCGATCGATGGGATTAGTGTCAGTTTCCATGTCCATTAATCCGGTACACCTGAACGAAGCTATGTGTTATCAAAAACATTAATTCATAAACATGGGAATTTTTAGAAAGATCCAAAAAAAAAACATTGTAATGTATCAGTATGTGAATAAAATAATACATCTTTGGAAACACTACAAAGGCTGCATACGTAGCATACAAAACTACTACATTCTAAATTATGGCATACTACTACCTTGTAGTTAAGAAAACTATAAATCTGAAGGGAAGAAAGTGAGCAATACCTGCTTGCATCCTGCACCGTCATTGTTTTGCAAGCTTCATTGTCGCCAATGCAACCATTTGCACTTGGATTATTATGTCTTTGCTCCGCACTCTTAGCCAAGCGGTATAGACTGTCCCTAATGCACAGTTTGGTTTTAATATCCAACTGCAATCAAGCAAATTTTAGGTGCGACAAAGAAAATTATAATCAATGAATTGACAGATTTCAAGTAATAAATAAATATGCAGGTAAACCTTAGCATAGCATCACAACTTTTAATCTCCAGTTTTTTATTTTCTTGAAAAGGGGTAAACTACTAGTTTCGTAGCATCATGCTATTTTCTCTTGGTATACATATGTGATCAAAATCAAAGATAACCATTACAATACATGTTTAGAGTGCAATGTTGAGGAGATAAAATAATATTCTCTTTTCTCTCAGGATAAAAAATATAAAGAACAAACAGAACCAACTTGAACACCACACAAGATTCAAATACCTGATCCATGATCTGTTGCAGGTGGCAAAAGCTGGTTGCTTCAAGTGAGGTTTGATCCAGAACGGAGCCCATGGATGAGCTTTCATGCACTATTGATGAATCTATTTCTGGTGAAAAGCCTAGGCTAACTCCCTGGACTTCACTATGACCTTCATTTTCATTTTCAAACCGATGACCTACTTGCTGAGCTGAACCTGGACTATGAAGTGGTATTTGATTTGGGATATTTTCATTTTTTAAACTACTACTTAACAGAGGTCCATCACAGCATTGAAACAAATTTTCTCTGTTTTCAAATGTTTTCAAGGCAGCAGCCTCCAAGGAATGACCATGAGAACTTTCCATGTTTGATGCATATGATGATTCTTTAACAGAAGGAGACAGATGTCCATCATGCTCAGATCCAGACAAAGTTGTAAAGAGGGAAGTGTGATTTGGAGTATGACTATAGTCTGGGAGTCTTATAGGAACTTGTGTCTGTATACAGCCTAAAGTATTGGAATCTCTGTTCAGCTTATGTTTCTGGATGCAATCAAGAGATGTAACCCCACTGGAAGACGCTCCAAAAGGCTGCTTTGTATCTGCATATCGCTCTGGAGGAATATAAGGATGAACAGAACCTCTGTTTTCTAGGTAACCATTTTTTCGCCTTCCTGCCGATGGCTTTGGCAGCTTCCTCTGCGGCTGTTAAACAAATATTATAGGTGATGCACTAATTAGGAGTCAACTTAGTTCAATTTAAGTGTTCATCATTTGGAATAGTTCAATCTGGTATTAAACTTACATTGGAAACCAAGTAAATCCAACAAATTACCCTTGAAAGTGAAATGAAACAAGTGAACTGGACTTTTTGTGTATAACATAAAAATCTCAAGCCAACTTTTCATCAGCAAAGCAAAAGAGATATATATCAAGTAGGGGTAATTATTAGACTTCCCTTAATGCACACTCATTATTGGATACAATTCTAATCAAGATAAAATTTATAGGTCATGAATATGTCATAAAAGTATCTTATGAAATGCGTATACTAAAATTTTTAGAAATAAAAAATGACAGCATTTTGCTTGATTTCATAAATTAAAAAACTCTTTTAAATGAGGGAATATATGATTACAGTCAGAAATCAACCGAATCTAACTCAAACATAATTCCAAAATTGTTATCCTTGAAATGTCAAACATAATCAGTTCTGCAGCAGCTCACGACATACTTGTATTACCATATTCAATAATATAATGGCATTAATAACTTTTACCAACCTTTTCTTTGGGTTGCAAGTCAACTACATTACCAGATTTCATATCTGTCTCACTCTTACTGAACATTGATAATGGAATAGGGACACCATCGTCAATAACATCCATTTGAGACCTGAATTTTTCATCAACAGGAGATGACCTGTCATTGGAATCGTTTGAAACACCTATAATATTTTCCTTCGAGTCCATTTTATAATCTGATATACTTTTCAACGGACTCATTTCTGCATATGAAAACTTAAAGTCAGACTTCACTGCATCATCAGAACCTTCGGCACCATGAGAAGATGAGAGCCAGCAGAACTCCTCTTCATTGTTGAGACTTCCCGTTCCAAACGTTAAATCACAACTTCTAAAATTTAAAAAGCGATATTTAGTGATGATTGCAATTAATTGATTAGCAAAACAAAGGAAAAAATGAGGAAATCTCTGTCAAATAGGAGAATTTCTTACAACATCCTGTCAACATCTTCAAAGTTTCCTATATCCAGCCACCCGTCATTATCAAGAAAACTGAGTTCATTGTCAGCTTGGGATGTGTGATTGATTGAATATTGACAGACACTATCATCTTCCACCACACACTTGTCTCCCAAGATAGTATCATCTTCACATAGCTCACATCCACCAGAATCTAAATTGCTGCTCTTGAAACAGTGATCAGACATGCCAGTGTCATCTGATGTGAGCCTTTTGGCTTCTTTACTTGAGTCATTAACCCTAGAAGAAAACACAACTTCAGGTGTCGAATCCTTTTCTAGCATTTTCTCTTTCTGGGTCATACTTTCTAAGTACAATTCCTCTTTACCCTGAGTACCATAGATATTATCGTAATCACTACTTCTGATACCACGTAATTGGTGAAGTGAATCCTTACAGCTATCTCCCTGTATTATAAACTGTTTATTAAGCTTGTCACCAGCATGGGTTACCGTATGATCATCACTTCCACCAAATCCATCCCACACATTTTCTTCAAGCTGTAAGACAAAGGCACATCGTACAAAAATTTCTTGAATAACTTGGCATCACATAGTCTAACAAATTGATGAAAACATATGACATCAAACCTGATAAAGAGAGAAACAAAAAGCAAGACACGTATAAATTTGTTAAAGTGCATAAAAATACAGCCCCCACCAGTCTGTTGGAATCAGCAGGAAAGAGGAAACAAAAAATACGATACAACCCATAACTTCTTTCAGTATTCATAAAAAGGGACCACTTTAACCTCTGCAAGAAGTGTTTCAGAATAACCTTATGATCAAAAGTCCACCTTCCAAAACAAGAACCATGTCATCCAGGATTCTAACTGAAATTCAACTAAGCTTAACTCAAGCCTGATCAGTTAACAGAGTACAAATAAGAAAAAAGGTGGTGCTGATTTAGGAAAAAGAGTAGAAGGAATTTTTTTACAAATTTAGGATTCAATTTACCATTAACAAGTACTTTACACTTCAAGGAAAGGAATTAGGGCTGGTTATATATTATGCATAAATGTAAATAAATATTGGAATTTGAACTAGAGTAAATTAATCCAAGTCATTGTGCTGTACCGGTATAATATGGCACAAGAATATAATTATATCAAATACTGGAATTGAATTTAACTAATAGTTTATACCTCGTACATACAGATGTTTGATATTCCGCCGAGACTTTTTATCCACCACTAAAGATGCATTCCACTGGTTGATCCAATATCATGCTTCTTTAATTATATCTATCATCAAAGTCCAGAGATGACTTAACTGGTTGAGTCATAGGTTTGAAAAATCACTAAAATTGCATCAATACCAATCAGCACTTTTATATCCATGGAGTTTAAAAATTATGAATAGAAATTATCAATAATACCTACAGAGCAACCATTAGTGAATTCTTAATGTTACGCTAACACAATTGCTACAACATTGACAGTCTTAACAAGGTCAGCTAGCACTAGTATCACCACCACAACACATGCAGCATATGCGCCTCTATATCCATCAGAAATTGCCAATACTAATCACCTTATCTCTGTTAACTATAAATATGATAATACCAAATTAGGAAATTCTGAATACAAAAATAATTTGTCAACAGTTTAGAAAAATCTACTATTGCGTTTTTGTGCAAAAAAAAAAAACAAACATTGCTGCCACTACAGCTAAAACTAACATACTTGATCTCAAAATTATAAAACAGGACCCAAAAGGTTCCTGCTTCAAGTTTTAACAGCTTGACAAACATTCTTTTTCTTTTTTATGTTAAACTAGAGCATGGCCAAATCCTTCACCTATTACACACCAGTTTGACAAAAGAACTTATTAGCTAAGGATATTCTTTATTCTTATAATTACTATCTCCTGGGTTGAACGTTTGCTATCCAGAATCTCATTCCCTTAAGGTCCACCTCCCAACTTGTCAATAAGAAACTGTTGTTTTCTTCTTAACTTCAACATTCTTGCATTTTTATCTTATTTAGAACCTAACTACAAACTTAGACAGTCAAATACACCAGAAATCCGGAGTAAATCTGCCAGTGACACAACAAAATATGAAGATCCGGAAAATTGAAATATCCTTTTCACCATTTCTTACTTGGCAAACATTGCACCAAGTCATGCGTAAGTGACAACAACCAGCTCATAGCAGAAAAACAATAATAACAATAATTAAGAATTCTAAATCAGAATATAATAGAGCGATTTAAAACCACTTCCATCAAATTTACCTCCCTATAACTATAAATGAAACCTTTTAGGAGAAGAAGAAAAGCGTGAAGAGGTTCACTTGAGACATATTTCTTTTTCAGGCTTAATTTTGTGATTGATGAAGTAAACCAGTAGAGCATGCAAAGACCAAAGAAGAAAGGGGAAAAAGTTACCAAAACGGGAAATCATACGAAACTAAAGAAATTGAAACTGACCTGAGGACGAAAATCGGTTTGAAATCGCAAAATTTGGGAAAATAAAGAGAAAGAAAACAGAGAGAGATTGGAGAGGGAAGCGTTAGTGGATTGTTCACCTCACGAGTGGGGGGATTCCTTTCCAGACCCTTCTTTACTATCCAACTTCAACTTCCTCGCAGAATTTTCTTCTTTAAAAATAATATTGTTTTTTTAATTAATTAATGTGGCGAAAAGGTATCACCCAAAAACCGACACGTGGCATCCAGATTGATATCAAATTAGGTTCGTGGACGGGAGGTGGGTGCTTAAGATCCGATCAGTTACTATGTTTCTATTGGTCCACGACAAGTTTAACTCTCGCTCCTCTGACACGTGCCGGGTATTAACTTAGAGTGCGCTTGGCACGTGCCAATCGTAGAAACCAACATGTGTGGTTCAATATTTTGGTTTGTGAATATAATAATGGCCACTTGTCTTTTGTTGGCCACTTTGGAACCTCCTCTGTAGAAGTGTTCTCACCTCTTTCACTCATTAGGTGGGATCAAAGGTCAAATTAATTAAAATAATATAAATATATTTGTAGGACACAGTTTAGTTTACCTCTTTCAAACATAGATTTTGCAAACTGCGCGCTTTAACCACTTTTAAATACAACATCTTTTTGTGAGTCATTTAAATTTATATTTAAGACAAAAAGTTTACAATTTTTTTCTATTAAAAAAAAGAATAGGAAATTATACATATGTATGTAGAAAATATTTTTGCAAATTTAAAATTACGCTTAATATCACTAGTTGTTCATTAATTTTGTTATGAGTCTCTAGAATTTTCAAAACAGTCACAAATCGTGATTCTTTAACAAGTTCAACTCATTAAAAATTACGTTCATAAATTTCATTAAATTACACAAAAGTTGTAATATGGAATAGGATCTGACTTTTTTGAGTTTAATGCAGAGCTAGCGATTTAATTGGAAAGTGTATATTCATTTTTATCAAAATCAATGATACGGAAGATTCAATTGGACTTATTGATTCCTTCATACTTCCAGAGAAGGTAATGAGTGTGATAATTGACTAACTAAATAAGAACTCATCTGGTTTGATTTTATGGATAAATTCCGTCCTTAAATATATCTTTTGTTAAATCCTATAGAACTATTTTATTATGAAAATATATTTTTAATAACTAATTTGATAATAAACAAAAAATATTTTAATGTAAAACTATAATGTTAGGAATTGATTTGAATTTCTGACACATTAAAAAACTAAATATTTTTCACTTTCGCAAACTGAATTAATTAACAATGTTCACATATTCAATGACCAAAAACTTAACATATTCAATTACAAGTAGGTTTTTTTTGACAGATTTAGTAATCAATTTCTTCGAGAAGATGCAGTGTATGTCAGGTTTAGATGAATATCCTTTTTTTTATCTTGCCACCTCCATTAATTCTTCCATTGTTGAATTTGCTTGCTATCCGGAAGCAATTTAAAGTCACATACAAACCCAAGAAGGCTTATTAATTTTTTCCAACCCTCCTTTGCATGGTTGGACTAAGTGTAACACTTATGTTCATCCAGAGAAAATCCTTAGCAAGTTGTGGGAGTATCCTTAAAAATCACAAGGATGAGTACCTTGGGGGCGTCTCTATTAATTTGGGTGTCACAGCATTTTTTTTCGCTGAGCTCAATGGAGCTATTACAAAAATTGCCCACAATAAAGAATAGAACAATCTATGACTGGAATGCAATTCTATTAGTCCCATTAAGACTTAATTAACACAAATGGTTAAATTGTATTAATCTAACCAAGAACATGAATTTTGTTGGTCAAATTTACAGGGAGGACAATATTTGTTCAGATATTCTGATGTCTATTCCTTAATTGTATTTTGTTGGTGGAATTGAATTCCGTAGTTAATAACTAGTGACCCCAATAGAAAAAGACATAATTATACAAACTAAAGGTTGAAATAGTTTATTCTAGTTTGGGTTTGGTTTTACCTCCTCTTGCCTTCTGTAGTTTCCTCGATTTGGTTATATACTTTTTTGGCTTACTGTCCTTGCAGAGTGTAGTAAGGGATGCCAACCTAGTTGGAATCGCCTACAACTCTTTGTTGCGATAGCTTGTCTTTCAAAAAATTTTTTTTTGTTCTGCTCTACTTCATCTTGTACCAGCTTGTCTTTTAATTAATAAAGAAAGTTTTGCTTTAATCCATCTTTGTATTCACCTAGGAAAAAACAACCTATCCAGTGGCTGAGAAAGGTGTAGAGTCAACACCTCCGTACTGGAGGAAGAATAACAGGAAATCAAATTCTAAAATTAAGGACAGGAAATTCATAATATAATAATTGTAAATACAAATAAACAACCAGGGTCATTCATTCCCTTGCACACACGACGAGGGAAGTTATTCTGAGAGATTCGTCATAGTATTTTACAGAACAAACAAACGTCCTGACACTATACACTATACATTATCGGGCACGGAGAATACCATAATTAACAGATGATAATAATATCCAAGTAGAGATACAAGACAACATTGTACTTTCAAAAGTCTAAAATTTAAACGGGAGCAAAATTGTCTGTTGCTTTCTTTTTCTATATTTTCCATATATTATCTGAGCAGAAGGATAAGTGTTTACTGACTCCTTTGTATGGTTATTAGCATCCGAACTTACAGTTAAAGAACCATGAAGTGCATTTGTTCTGTGGCAAACTCCAAAATGATTTTTATTGTAGAAGAACAGTACTTGCTAAGGGGTGAATATACATCATTTCTTCAAAAGCTTCTGCGAGAAAATCTTCTTGGAATATGGACTATTCCTTGAAATTGTTTTGTGGGACTCAATTGCTTCAACTAGTGAATTACGGACATGACCCTAGTTTAGAAGTAAAAGGGCAAATGTGAGAAAAGAGATACCAAACAAATAGATCAGAGGAACAAAAATGTTCATTGACAAAGCCCCATAAAGTTTAACACGATTGTGGAAATTTCATGCACTAAGAAGTAGAAATTGGGGTGAGAGGAATATGAAGCAGTCATGTTACAAACCTCAGAATGTCGAAGAGCTGATTGAACAACATAATTTGCATGTGGATCTTGAAGCAACAGTTCAAAGTGTGGAGCAGATAGCAGTTCATGAATGACTCTTGATCGATTCTCATCATTGAATACAACAAGACATTTTTCAACGACATGGCTGCTGAACTTCTGCATTGACAAGTGCACATATTTACCTTCAAATAGCAAACTTAAAGTTGCAGCGGCGGAAGGAATCCTCAAATCCAAGATAAACTGAACAACGTAATTCCTATAGAAGACAAAAAGAATGAATAGATCAAAGAGAGTAGAAAATCAAGAGAGAAACAAAATTTTATTTCGGCTTCAAAGTAAAATATTATTTCTAAAAATCAACAAAACCCTATCTATAGATGACTCTTTTTTTGTTAAAAATGTATTTGTTAATCACAAATCCCAAGCACAAAAGAAAGCAGAAAAATGAAAAAATAAAAATAAAAATAGTACAGGAACAAAAAGAAAAGAAAAAAAACACTCATTTCTAGTGGATTGTGGTGCACCATCTGATTTAAGGAATCTCACAAATGGTTGAATTAAAACATGTGATGGTTACTGATGGATTTCTGTCTCAAATGTAAATATGATATTTGTTAAAAAATTACCAACTTAGTCACAATATTTGACGTTCTCTATTCCACAATTGCACCACACATTGTGATCGACAATCTAGACATGTAACTGTCATGTGCAAAAGGAGTAAACAAAATCATGTTTCATGACTACACCCCTACAAATTCCCAAAAAGTCTGTCCAGTGGTATGGGTTATTTCGTTACCAATTACTGAAGACAATTTACTACAGCTAAGATTCTCTGTCCCACGAAAAAAAAAAAAAATACTTTAGGGAAAGAGGTAGACAGGCTTAACGCAAAAAATATCTTTGCAACGTTTAATATACATTACATTCTAAGTAATATGCTTAAAATTATTACCCATATTGATCTTGAGCTAGCAGAAGTGCATTAGTAGATATTTCTGCAACCAGATTTTCTCTAAGCTTTCCACTTGAATGGCCAATGCATCTTTGTAGAACACAACATCCGTGTTGATGAGTTGCAATGTCAACACAATACTTGGCAGCAGCAACAAATATGAACTGCCCGAAGCAAAGAATGAGAAATGCGAATTTTACGCATCAAAAATATTATATATGTGCAATTTCATCAAACATCAATCTTTTTCAGTGAAGAGAAATTGTGACGAAGTGATATGCCAGAATAATTTAGCAGATATTTGTCATTTATTTTTTGCAACATTTTCATTGCACAAAATACACCTAGCCTTAAACTAACCTATATGCACCACGGCAGACTCCACATCAACCACTGTTCATAAGGCCCTTTTCCACAATATAGACCAACAAAAATTAATTTGATTGGTTGTTGATCTCAAGACTCTCCTCCACTCTTGAAATGTTATTCACGTTTTCAAACAAAGCAATAGACAAGTTCAATTGAATTCTTTTAATTTTAAGTCTTGAGTTCTAACCCATAGCAAGCTATGCTTCAGATGATAATCCATTAGTATCTATGAGCATTTTCATGAAATCATTATTTTAAATATGCTCTTGATAGTCTATGGTACGCAAATATAAACCTAAATTTTAACAAGATTCTACAACCTACTTATACATTGAATTTCCAGTTCTAAGAGAGTTTACAAATCTATCTCAAAAAGTAGACCAGGATGTTAAAGAAAAATAAGGGCAAAGCAAAGAAAGAGCAATTACATTACTGCATTTGTACTCTGAAAATAATAAAATACAAAAACAGAGACATGGTAATGTACAATGAATTATTTAATATTATAGTCTTAGTTTCTTCTGTGCCCAAGAGGAGAAAAACTACGTGATCATAAAAAATCATTTCAAATGCTTTGATACCATGATGTCTAATCTTCTTAATATCAAGTATCCAAAATAGCCATATGAGATAATGAACCTGGTCTTACTACTTGCCTTAAAGTCATAGTCCTTCAGTTAAAAACATAATAATTCTACATAGAGGACCATATCTGAGAGATGAATACACAATTTTTGATTGAATAATCATATCTGTCGGAAAAATAATAAAACAAGTTCGTTATCAGGTTAACATAAGAAAGTTTGAACAATTTGGCCAAGTTGTTCCAATTATCTATCCAACAGAACAGCACATGATCATAATGCTTCCTGTGATCCCTTCCTTTTAAAAAGGACTAACGCTTCGCAAATTTTATTCATAATACATTCAAATTTAGCCATGCGCACAAAAAATGAAATTTCAATTAAAAGAACATGATTGCGCAGTATTGCAAAGTCAAGGCACAAGCAAGATAAACTTTTGAGAACAAAATGAAACTGACAGAAAACAATAGTGCTTTTTCACACAAGATTATCAGTTATCAGCTATTGATCCAAAAAAGAAAATATAGTAACAAGTGATTTGAACAGATAAATTTCTGTTCGCTCATAACTATCATGTATAGGATTTATCCAAATCAATGAACATTTGAAAAAAGTAAGAGTCATACTTTGTTATCTTCATTGCTTAGGCATTGTAAACAATGTTGAACCACATGATTCCCATTAAGATCTTTGATGAGGGCCAAGAATCCAGGTTGCAAAGCTGATACAACTAATGAAATTTGCTGCCTAGTTTTGAGAGTCTCAATCAGCTTTTGTACCACACGAGTGCTGGAAGAAGATAAAAGTAATGTCAAATTCAGCATCGGACAGTCTATATATCATTTCAATGCTACCATAAGTTGCAAAATTACCCATGAGTGTTTAAAGAGATTCTGACAAGCTGCCCGGTCTCCTGTGTAACCACAAGTATGATCTGCATCCTCTGTTCTTCATCACATACATCCAACAACTTTTGCATTAGGTAATTTCCAAAAGGATTCATCATAAGCTCCACTACATGATCAATTATCTCACTAAATATCACTTGAACATCCTCCGGTGCACCCTCATCAAACATTCTTTGCAGGAATCTACAGCCATGTTGATCTTTGGCCATTAAATACAACGACCCTCGAGCTTCTGCTAGGGAATTGTACTTGGGCAGCATAGGGAATGAGCACCCATTCCTAGGACTCCTAGGATTTTCATATCCTCCAAGATGGTGTCGGATGTCTATCTCCGACCGCTGTAGCTGCTTAGCAAAGCCATTTTCGCGCACAGCACGCTGACACCTTGAATGATCCGAACCCCTGCTAACAACATAATTTAAACCTTCCCCCTGTATAATAAAACTCCCCTCACTTGTCATAGCATCTAGATTTCCTCGTGGGATTCTAGAATTCGAAAGTGGCACAATTCTTGCATTAGGCTGATAAAGGCCATACTGCAGCAACTCCTGAACACTCATACAAGGCTTATAATTAGGACAAAAGGAATTATTAGACAGTCTTGACACCCCGCTTTCTTCCAATAAGTTAATTCCATATTTCTGCGCATAAAGTGAAGCAGCATCAACAGTTGAATTTCCGCTCAAGGAACCAACAATCTCCGGCACCACGCTTTCACTACCATTGTAATTACTCATCAGCTGCCTTTCACGCCTAGGAGAATCCATTGAACCACCACTGAATCCATTCAATTGAGAAACCATATCGCGCTCATGCCACCTAGGACTTGACTGCAACGATCCAAATAAATTAGTCATTTTATAATCCTGAGTCAGTCCTGACAATGCTGAATTAATTTCTGCAGCACGGGTGACAGAACTCCTTGTCCTGATTACAGGGGATTGAAACCCCACAGAATCACTAAACCCTCTTCCAAAATTGCCACAGTCCCCACCACCACCAGAACCACCACCACGCATGTGGTGAAGATTATTGACAAAATCACGAAACGGAAGCACATTAGGATTCTGGTGTGTATTATCAGCAATGCACATTTTAGTGAAATTAGAGCAGAGGCCTACTTCATGAACCAACCTATCAGTCTCATTGAGTTTGACAGTGGAATCAGGGATCCTAGAATTGAGGTAGAGGTTGTGGTTGTTGGGGTAACAGGAGCTTCTAGAAACCACGTTGGATTTGAGGTCGTCGAAAGAAGGAGGAGACATTGAGAACAAACTGGAAGAAGAATCGTCAGATTGCAGAGAAAACCCACTCATAGGGGATTTGAAGCCGTCATCGTAATACATACCATAATCATGAGCGTTACCGTTACCATTAACATGACCATGACCATAGTGTGTCCGCTTCATAACGAAAACGCCATCGTCATCGTCATCAGCACCATGTCTATGTCGGTGATGATGATGATGGTGGTGGTCGTGGAGATTGTGCGATGTGGCGTGAGGGATCTCATCCAGCAACATTTTTAACTCCTCCTCTGACTTATTCTATAGTCTCCCTCACCATTTCACGAAAAACAAAAGAAGAAAAGTTGGTCAGTGAGAGGATCGGGGAAAGGGAAAAGGAGAAAGGCGCCATTGAAACGACATCGTTGGGGTAGGGATATGTTGAACAACGGAAGGTGGCATCTATATGATGGGACTCACAATCGCATTTGCATTTGAACCAAAAGAAACAAAAAAAGAATCACATCTGAGTTATTGGGTTTAATCTGTGAGGAGTTGGTGAAGCATGCAAAGATTAAACATTCTCATACGGTTACTGAGGGTGTATGTATACTGTACACACTCGCCGCACTCTCTCTCTCTCTCTCACGCCATTAAACTTGCAGAACAAGAAGAGTCACTGTTCTATTTTCCCTTTAATTTCTCTTTCTCTCTCTCTCTCCATATATCATCAACCCAACACACATATCGAGGACAAACAAATACTCTGTTGTGCAAGTCTTTCTCGCACTGTATTTTAATCTCTCTTTTTTAAATTAAAAATATAATGTACTTTGAAGGTGAAACAACGCGTGTTGTGCACGCTCTTCTATGAGGCATCCAGGGTGGGTCCCATTGCTTGTGAACTCTTCACGGTGGAGTTTGGACGCTGGTGGCGCGAGTGGAACCTGGATTCATTTGTCCTGTTATTAATTAAAATTAAAAAATAAAAGAATTTCTGTTACTCTACTTACGGATTGGAACAAGACAAGCCTCCGAATTTTCTCTGAAGGGATTTTTTGAAATCTCCATATTACCCTTCCTACATGTTTGTATTTCCTTTCTTTGCATGTCGTGTAATCTCATCATACTCCACCTAACACCTTTGCTTATGCTACTGTAATTGCTAAAACTAAAAATACTAAATATGTCTTCTTTTAATTCTTTGTTACAGAATTGATTTTTTAATTTTACTATATATAAAATTCTTTTATAAGAATTTAGATCAGTTTTAAGGTATGCATGTATTTGGATAATGCAATCCAAACACTGTTTTAAGTAATAATCAAAACGAAATAAATTTGATAAAGCGATGGCTGAAAATAAAACATTTGAATGATAATTTGTCTGGTTACATAGATCAACATGAAAATACAAGTTTAAAGCAACGAAAAAACCAAGGAAAATTTGTTATTATTAATACTTGGTATATACTGAAATAGAGCATTTTTTTTCTGTAACCCACAAACAATTTTATCCATGAGCCAAAGCAACTTTACAATAATCTTTACAAAAAAATTATCGGTGTTATGGTTGTAATTATTATTCTGTCCAAAATAATAAAAGTATAAATAAAAGACGCAGAATAAAAAAATATAAAGATGTTATTTGCGCAAATATGACATCGAAACATGATTAAGAGGATTGTGAGAATTAAGTTTTGGTGATGCGGATAAAACTAACCTTTTTTAAAATGAAATATTGTTCATTGATATATTATGAGAGTGGCACGTGTTAGTTAACACGCTATAAAAGAAGGAGGTTTAAAATTTAAAATTTGGTGATGTGGGAATGGCACCAAGAGAGTAATGCATTTTGTAATCAGTGTAAAAGTTGGTTGATTTGATAGGAGGCTTCTTCATGCAAAGTTTTCACCATACTCAACCTCTTCGTTGCTTTTGCTAGAAACTAAAGTGATTAGTGACCAAAAAGAAAAGAAGATTTGAATTAAATTAAAAAAACCCCATATGCATATTTGGATGGGAGATGGTGGAGGTTGAAGGTGGTGGTTTGGTCTCAAAGAATAGGAGCAATTGCAAAGACCAAAAATTGAGGAAGTTTAAGATTAGTATGTTTTGGGGAAAAAGGAGAGGCATGGGAAAGTGGCGAAAATGGTTTGATAGGGTTCCTTAGTGGGAAAGCGAGAAACCGTTCGGACCCACATGTGCTTGTCTGCACCTTATTTCTGAGAATTGGTCAATTACATGTCATAACCAACGTTTTTTCATAGGAAAGCGATGTCCCTACTTTTTTCTCTCTAGGGTTTTTATGTTGGGTCTAATCAAATAGATCTCTTTTTGTTAACTTTTTATGTCTTTAGGCCAATTATTTGTAATTGCATAACAAAACAACACTATTATAGTTTTTTTTTTTTTACAAAAATAGTGCATTTTTTAAAATTTACTGAAATAGATATTTTTTTAAAATTATAAATTGTGCTATAACTTGATTTTACTATTAAGTGATCGTCTTTCCTATCACCGTTTCAATTTTTTATTTTTAGATCGATAAAGAAATCGTTTTAGATAACGTGATTTATATATATATATAGAGAGAGAGAGAGAGAATATTTTATTATCAGATTATAAAAATTATTTTATATTATTTTGTTATTAGAATTAATAATAATAATTTAAATAATTATTATTATTATTAAACTTAATAATTATTATATTATGTTATTATTAATAATATTAAAAAACAATAATAATAAAAATAATAAAATAATATAATTATAATTATTGTATTATTATTATTATATTAATAATATAAAGAATTTTATCATTATTATTTATATTTATAATATATAATTGTCATTGTGATTTATAATAATAAAGTGATAAATTTATAATAATTTAATTATTCTATTTTAATAATTATTATAATTATATTATAAAAAAGTATTATTATAACTTATAATAATAATTTTAATATATTTAATTATTATTTATACATGATAACTTAATCTAAGATCAAATCAAATCTCATATGATAAATTTACGGAATAAACTGAAACCTGAAAACCCAAACCTATTCCTACAAAATTTAATTCACTTATAAAAACATCAACATGCTAGTTTATTTTATTCATATTATTTTAATTATAATTTTTAATAAAATAAATAATGATAAATATGTTTATATTTATTAATATAATTAATAAAAATTATACTAAATAATAAGTCATATATATATATATATATATATATATATATTAATTTATTATTATTATGTACTACTTCTTCCTGAATCTAAATATGTTTTTTTTTAATATGTTAGGTTAATTTTTTTTTAAATTACACCAGTACAAAAGCCACTATTATATTTTAATTTTTAAAATTTACATCCACACACAGAATTTATTGAATATTTCCTCTAGGAATTGAAGTTAAGAAAACTATTTTTTCATACACTTAACCTCACACGCACTGGGCCAAGCCCACAAGTAACCTAATTTTTCTATCTGAAGCAGAAGGTATAATTTAATAAATTAGATCAAATTACACACAAAACTAACTAGAAAATGAAAATAATAGCCTAGTAAAGATGCCCAATTTGATAAAAATAACTACTGTAACAATTGAACTCTTGTCATTAACTCTTCTTAAAAAGTAAACTGTCATTTTGTTTCGTGTGGAATTTCGATTAATTTCGATTTTTAAGAGGTTTTGGTTCTAATCAAAACTCAACTACATAGATTCTTTATACTTAGGCTAGCAACTGAATTTCAATCGAAATGCATATGAGAATCGAAAATACCACTGTATCGAAAATACTAAGATTGACAATCGAAAGTACTATTTTTGGTATTTTGTTTTTGAAATACTCGAAGTAAGGAAAACAGCAAAATGACAAATCGAAAAGCAGGATAAAATATAAAGCTGCGAAGAAATATTAAATTTCAGATAATGTAAAGTACGGAAACCTCAAAATTGCATTAAGTGTAAATGACATGAAATCGAAAGTACAGAAACTTAAATTGCACTAAGATAAATGACATAAAATCGAAAGTACTGAAACTTAATTTGCTAAAGATAAATGACATGAAATCGAAAGTACGAAACTTAAATTGCACTAAGATAATTGACATGAAATCGAAAGTACAGAAACTTAATTTGTTGAACATAAATGACATGAAATCGAAAGTACAAAAACTTAAATTGCTAAAGATAAATGACATGAAATCGAAAGTACAGAAACTTAAATTGCACCAAGATAAATGACATGAAATCGAAAGTACAGAAACTTAATTTGCTGAACATAAACTGCATCAAAGTAAATTACCAGGGAAAATAAAGAAAACAGTAAAGGTACTCAATGAGCGTGGAAATCCAGATCGCCAGAAACTTCATGATGTTCGTCGTTCTCCGATAGACTTCTCACTAGTATTTCTGTTCTCTGCCAATTTTCCACCTCCCTTTTTCATTTCATCTTTTGCTCTATTTATAGGTCATCTTTCAAGTAGTCTCTTAGGAGCAGTTAACGAAAACTGCTACCACGTTCTCTGTGCACGTCTTTTTGCAGTTTTGCTCCTAGCTCTATGGTTTAGAAACTGCATCCATGTTCCCATGCATGAGGTCACTGTTCCCTTGACCTTCGGCCTTTGCCACTGCTTACTATGTTCGATGTATATGTCGACTGTTCTTTTTAGCCAAAATTCCGATATTCGCGTATGTTAGCCTTCCCTTCGATTTAGACTTCGAGAGTTTTGGATTGCTTTTGATTCTCGGTATCCTTAACGTTACATGATTTTGATTTCTTGATTTTCTTCACCAACGGACGTTAAGCGTTATTCCCTTGATTCTCGATTTCAATACTCGATATGTTTTTATCTTTGTGGTCATCAGGTGTCTTGTCAATTTTATCGATTTTTCAATTAATTGTATAGTTCTCAATTTTTGCTTCCCTTCACTTTTTCGATCTTTTTATTGATCTCTTACTAACAAAATGCCCCCTTGGAAGAATATAAATAGTTTCCGTTTATATTCTTTCAACACGATTCCCGCCTTCGCTTATTGGAGGCCCACAATAATCTAGGGTTTAGGGTTTATGGGGTTTTAGGGTTTTTCTACTTTATGTTATCATCACGTCAGTCTGCTGCCTCACCGTACACGCCACATTAATTGCCCTCGCTTCCGTCGTTTCCAACACCCTAGGTAGTTTTCCCTTTTAAACTCTATTGGTTTTTTACCCTGGCTTTTTACGCGAACTTTAACCCTTTGCCACTTCATCTTCTACCTGCGCTTTTGCCTTCATCC